AGGGTCCAAACCAATTAGGTCTAAATTTTGCCCTTGGATCTAAAACATTTTTCCTTAATGCTTTTAACACCAAGTCTCCTACTTTGATGTTCCTTGTCTTGACCTTCTTATTAAAATGCCTAGCCATACAAGTTTGATAACACTAAGTGTGATGTAGAGCTTCTAGTCGCTTTTCGTCGAGTAGAATTAGCTCTTCATATCTTGCCCTAGTCCATTCGACTTCATCGAGTTTACTCTCTAATGCAATGCGTAGAGATGGAATTTCTAGTTCGACAGGTTGTACGACATCCATTCCATATACCAAGGAAAATGGTGTATTTCCTGTTGACGTGCGGATTGACGTACGGTAACCCCACAATGCGATGTGAAGTTTGTTAGGCCAATCCTTATAATTTTCCGTAATTTTCTCGATGATAGTCTTTAGATTTTTATTGGCTGCCTCGACTGCTCCATTTGCTTGAGGCCTATAAGGGGAAGAATGATGATGTTGAATGCCGTATTTTTGTAACAATTCTTCACATTCGGCTTGAAAGTGAGTTCCATTGTCACTTATCATTTCATGTGGGTCTCCGTATCGACAAATAATATTTCTCTAGATAAAGAGTGCTACATGTTTTGCAGTGAGTTTAGCGTATGATTGCGCTTCAACCCACTTTGTGAAGTAATCAATTGCTACTAGTATTTATTCGTGGCCTCCTAATCCTGGGAGAGTGATTTTGCCGATGATGTCAATTCCTCATGTAGAGAATGGCCATCGTGATGTGTAGGTGTAGAGCAAGGATGGAGGAACATGTTGTAAATTGGCATAGATTTGACACTTAGGGCATCTTTTTACATATTGATGGCAATCCCTATTCATTGTAGTCCAATAATATCCTTCTCGCATTATTTTTTGGACTAACATTTTGCCATTTATGTGCGTGCCACATATTCCTTCGTGGACTATTCTCATTGCTCTTTGTGCATCCTTTTTTCCTACACATAAGAGAGCTCGACCCTTAGGCACCCTTTTATGTAGCTCGTTGTCTATGAGTACATATTGGGAAGCCAAAATCCTTAATGCTCGTTTTGCTCTTTTGTCAGCGTGGGGAGGGTATTCTCCTTTGGTGACATAATTGAGTATGTCCGTGTACCACGGTTCTTCTTCTTCTTCTTCTTCGTCTTGGACCACTTCGTTGTCTTCTATAGCCTGGATGTATGCTGGTTTGTGCCTTTTCTCTATAGTTAGAGGCATTTACTCGATTTCCCTGGGAATCCTAACCATTGAGGCTAGTCTTGCCAAGGCATCAGCGAATTGATTTTTTTCCCTAGGTAGATATGTGTATTCTATCTTCTCTAACTGATCGGTAAGAGTTTCCAGATAGGTTTGGTAAGGGGATAAACTTTCGCTCCTTACTTTCCACCTTTTAGATATTTGATTGATAATCAAAGAAGAGTCTCCGAATATCCTTAACTTTTTTACTCCTAATGCCAAAGCTGTTTTAAGGCCTACCACGCATGCTTCATATTTAGCAGCATTGTTGGTAACGTCGAAATCAAGCTTTATGGAGATTGGAACATGCTCTTCTTTAGGTGATACTAGTAACACTCCAACGCCACATCCCTTTTGGTTTGGAGCGCTGTCGAAGTACAAGGTCCAAGTATCATCTTCAGTGATCATTAAGTCTTCATCTGGAAATTCATTGTCTTGTATTGGCGTCGAGTCTTCTATTGGAAAGTCTGCTAGAAAGTTTGACACCACAGATCCTTTGATAGCTTTTTGCAGCATAAATCTTACATCAAACTGGGCTAAATTGACTATCCATCTTGATATGCGTCCATTAAGTGTAGATTTCTCGAATAGATACTTGAGTGGATCTAATCGGGAGACTACGAAGACAATATGCACTAACATGTAATGTCTTAACTTGGTTGTGGCCCACACCAAGGCAAGGCACAACTTCTCAAGTGGTGTATAGCGTGGTTCGTATTCGAGCATATTTATTTTTTCTTAGATAGTAGTTTGCGTTTTCTTTGCCTTCTACTTCTTGTGCTAGCATAGCTCCCATTGTTTCTTTGGTAACCGTCAAATACAACCTAAGAGGTATTCCGGAAAGTGCTGGTGCTGATACGGGAGGATTTGCGAGATAGGTTTTGATCTTTTCAAAGGCTTTTTGACACTCGTCATCCCATATCACTGGTACATTCTTCTTGAGATTTTTGAAGATTGGTTCATATATTGTCGTCAATTTTGATATGAACCTACTTATGTATTGCAACCGACCAATAAATCCTCGAATCTGTTTCTCAGTTTTGGGCGGTGGCATCGACATAATGGCTTTGATCTTGGTTAGGTCTATCTCAATTCCTCTAGAGCTTATGAAATAACCCAAAAGCTTGCCTGAGGTGACTCCAAAAGCACACTTAGATGGGTTCAACCTCATATTATATTTTCTTAGCCTTTCGAAAAATTTCCTTAAGGCTACTTGATGGCATGGACGGTGATAAGCCGTCTTATCAAGGGTTGAGAGAAGAGTTTTAGGGTGTGTTTTGATGTTGTGCATGAGTTTTTAATAGCTTTTGTGAGTTTCGGGCGGTGATCTCACTTGTGTGCAAAAGCCGGGATTTATAGGTGTTAGTGAGTGAGTTCGGGAACTAATGAGGAGGATTATAGAGTATGGACCTTAGCTCGTGATTTGAGAAGCGTGATGGAGCTTGGAAGAGCAAGGGAGAAAGCTTGAGTAAAGGTGAAGCAAAGCTAGAAGAAAGAGCAAAGAAGACAGCAGAAGACAGCAGAACCGCTGCCAGGGCCGCTGGCAGCTGGCCAGAGCCGCTGGCAGCTGGCCAGAGCCGCTGGCAGCGGGTCAGCCAGAGAGGACGAAGTGTTTTGCTGCTTTAGCCGCTGCCAGCGGGTCCCGAGCAGCTGGCAGCGGGTCTTCCAGATTTCGGGGCCTGTTTTGGTTATTTTTCAGCAGTTTGCTTTGTCTTGGCTCGTGTTTTGTATTTATTTATTATTTTTATTATTGTTTTATGTTATTTAAGTATGGAAACATATATATAGTCTATTTTTATGAAGAGTTAAAAAAGATTAATTGGTGAGAATTAAGTTAGAGAGAAGTAAAAGTTTTCTAGGGTTCTTGGCAAATTTCAGAAATCTTTGTTTTTGAATTAGAATCCATGGAAGCTTAATCTTCCGGATTCTTGGTTAAAGATTGAAGCTTTTGGCTACGAATTGTGAGATTTCCTTCTCTTTATTATCTATTGAATGTTTATTATTCCTTTGAATTATTTCATGATTTGCTTTAATCAATTGCTAGGTTAGAATTGTTAGATTCGCTTGCATCTAATTAATCTTTCAAAAGTAGCAACTTTGGGTTATGAATGCATGCTTTTGATTGATAAATTAAAGAGGGAATAATATTATTGAAGAAATTAGACCGCTTGTGTTAATTTATTCAATCCTTGTTGATTTCTCCGTTTATGTTCTTCTTGTGGATGATTTAGAGCGCTTGTCTTAAATTATACATTAGAAAGGGTTAGAAAGGAGCGCTTTGCTATTTCTAACTAGCTTATGAGAATTTAGAATTTATAATTCTACAACAAGGTGTTCAATAGTGTTTGATTGAAGAGGCTTCTATGATCAATTTGTATGTTCAATTGTGGATTTCGCATAACCAAGACCGTTATTCTCATTGATTGCATACTATTTACGTTCATTGTTCTGATTTAGTTTAATTGTCACCATTGCTTGTCAAAGCCCCCTTGTTACTTAGATTACTACGTTCCTAGAGTAATTCCACTTAGGTTTGCAGTTATTAGTCCCTTTTTCCCTGTGGATTCGAACTCGACTCCCCTAACTACGTTTATTTGCAGTTAGCTTAGTTGTGATATTTTTGGTTGCATACGACTGAGGCACACCAAATTTTGGCGCCGTCGCCGGGGAATTAAGGCGTTACTTTTTAATTGTTTATCTTAGTAGAATTTATTTTAGGACTGTTCTTAGCTATCTTTCTTTGTTTGTTCGCTAGGGTATGATAAGTACCCGTTCTGCTAACAAAGAAGTTTTGCAGTTTGATCCAGAAATTGAAAGGAATATTTCCAGGTTGCGAAAAGAGGCAAGAACAACCCCCAGTGAATCAACGTACTCCTTCAATATTCAAGAAGAAGAGGAGATGGCTGACAATCGAACTCTAAGGGAACTCACAGCTCCCAACTTGAACCAACAACCGTTGTGCATTGCATACCAGCAGTTGGAGGAAGGTACTAATGTTGAGATCAAATCCGGTCTAATTCATCTATTGCCGGCATTCCATGGCATGAAAGGCGAAGATCCGAATAAACATCTGGCAGAATTTCATGTGGTTTGCACTAGCATGAAACCGATTGGGATGACTGATGAACAAATTCAGTTGAGAGCATTTCCTTTTTCTCTCAAAGATGCAGCAAAGGATTGGTTTTACTATCTTCCCCCAGGTAGCATAACAACTTGGGCAGATTTAAAGAAGTGTTTCCTTGAGAAGTACTACCCAGACACTATTTCTGCAAGCCTTAAGAAAGCTATCAGCAATGTGGATCAGAAGGAAGATGAATCCTTGTATGAGTATTGGGAGAGATTTAAGAGATTGTGTGCTAGTTGTCCTTACCATGGGTATTCCGATCAAGACCTCATCCTATACTTCTATGGAGGTCTAACTGATGATGACTTGAGGATGGTGAATGCAGCAAGTGGTGGAGGGCTAGTGAATAAGACTCCAGGAGATGCAACTAGGTTGATTGTAGAGCTAGCAGAAAATTCTAGGCAATTCAGTCAGAGAACTCCCACGCGCCGGGTGAATTTAGCAAATTCGAATACAACTGAGTTAGAGAGTCAAGTAGCTGATTTGACTTCTATGATGCGTGAGTTCATGGTGAACTCAAGGAATCCACAGCAACTGAATGCTTGTGGTTTATGCACCTCCATGGGACATCCCACTGATGCATGTCCTTAATTACAAGAGGAGCAGAATGAGCAAGCAAATGCAATGGGTTTCCAAGGGCAAGGTCCTCAGAGAAGATATGATCCCTATTCAAATACATACAATCCAGGATGGAGGGATCATTCAAATTTGAGATATGGGAACTCCCAAGGGAACCAACAACAACAAAATGCTCAAGGCCAGCAACAGTATCAGCAATATAGGGCACCATTACCCAAACTTCAAGGCCAAAGCTCAAATTCGAATAATATGTCAACTGAAGAAATGATTAGATCATTAACTTCTAATGTTTCTACTATGCAGCAAAATATGGTGCAATTTCAGCAAGAAACCAGATCAAGTATTCAAAACCTAGAGAATCAATTTAGTCAAATCTCTAGTGCAGTAAGCCGACTTGAAGCTAAGGACTCTGGAAAGCTTCCATCTCAAACGGAGCTGAATCCTAAGCAACAGGTCAATGCAATAACATTGAGAAATGGCAAAGAGTTGCAAGAAACTGCAGTTGCAACTAAGAGGGCTAAAGACTTGATTGGAACTGAAGAGAAAGAAGTAGAACATGAAGCTGTGGCGAATCCACCAACTTTTCCCTTTTATGAACCCACACCACCTTTCCCTGAAGCCTTGCAAGATACTCGAAGGTATGAGAAAGACAAGGATATTTATGAGACTTTTAGCAAATGTGAGGTAAATATTCCCCTCTTGAATGTGATTAAAAGTATTCCTCGTTTTGCTAAGTTTATGAAAGAACTGTGTACTATCAAAAGAAAGCATAGGTTGGGAGGAAAAGAGAAGGTAAAGGTGAGTGCTCATGTTTCTGCGGTTTTCCAAAAGAAATTCCCAGAAAAATGTGGTGATCCTGGTATGTTTATTGTTCCTGTTACAATAGGAGACACCACATTGCACCGAGCTATGTTGGACCTAGGTGCATCAATCAATGTCATTCCCTACTCCCTGTTTAAATCTTTAAAACTTGGACCTTTACATGGAACTGGGGTAGTGATTCAGTTAGCGGATAGGTCTAATGTGTATCCTAAGGGGGTGGTGGAAGATGTGTTGGTTAAGGTTGATGGTTTGATTTTTCCTGCTGACTTTTATGTGCTTGACATGGAACATGACAAACAAGCAGTCCCCATCTTGTTAGGAAGACCTTTCTTGAAGACTGCTAAAACAAAAATCGATGTGTCTACCGGTTCCTTGACTATGGAGGTTGATGGGAAAGCAATTGGGTATAACATTTATGATTCCATAAAGTATCCTGTCAACACTCATTCTTTATGTTCTCTTAATGTTGTCGATCCAATGGTGCATGATGTTCCTAACAATGATCGTGGGGATGAGTTCCTCACACCTATAACTAATGTTGTATCTGGTGATTGCTTGGATTTCTCTATGCCTACTAATGTGCAGGTGAAGGTGGGGGAATTGAATGAACATTCCAAGCTTCCACCTATACCACCAGGTTCAACAATCGGCCCGTCTGCAATTCCGGGCAAGAAATTGTCCCATTTATACCACAAAGCAAAGAATAGGTTGTGGCATGACAAGATGATTGCTAGGAAGAAGGTTAAAGTCGGTGAAAAAGTCCTCCTATAAAAATCCCGACTCAAATTATGTCCTGATAAACTCCGCTCCCATTGGGAGAGTCCATTTCAAGTGGTGAAAGTCTACCCGCATGGAGCGGTAGAAATTCAGAGCCTAGAGACCGACAATGTCTTCAAGGTCAATGGACAAAGAGTCAAGCCCTACTTCGATGGTTTCAAATCCGAGAACATAGAGTGCATTGACCTCTATGAGCCTTCAACCGAGTAGCGAAGTGGGATGAGTTGCGTCGAGCCAACGACGTAAAACAAAGGCGCTAATCGGGAGGCAACCCGATCGAAAACTCTTCCCCATTACTTTTCGTAGTTTAGTTTTTATTTTTTCGTGTGATGTGAAGAGTGTTTTTATTGTTTTTGTGTAGGTGGAGGCCTTGGGAGCAATTTTTATGCGCGAAACGCAGCAAAAACAGAGCAAAACAGAGACAAGGGGGGCCTTCCCTGCAGAAGCCGCTGGCAGCTGCTCTGCAGCCGCTACCAGCGGGTCTTCTTGCAGCCCAAACCCCTTTGTTTCTGTCCCAGCCGCTGGTAGCTGCTCCTGAGCCGCTGCCAGCGGGACCCCCCTCTACGTTTTTATTTTTTTTTTTCAAAATAATAATAATAAAAAAAAGGAATCAGTATCAGCCGCTGCCAGCGGGCCTCAAGCCGCTACCAGTGGCTCCACCAGCCTCCCCGATATTTTCCCCCTTATTTCCCCCTTTCCAACTCCTACCTTCATTACTCCTTTCGTAAACCCCAATTCCCACAAACCCTTACTCCTTTTCTCCTCCTTCTCTCTATTCTTTCATCCCCTTACTCCAATTGCACCGATCCCCTACCAATCTCCCTTTCCCAAGTTGGTTGTGCAGTTGTGCAAGTTGAATTTCTCGTAATTGAAAGTGAAGGTAAAGGTACAAGCATACAATTAGAGTCATGGGTGGGGATAACAAGAGGTCTAAGGCATCATCTCCACCAAGACCCCCAAGGGGCAAGAAGCAAGGTGCTTCTTCTAGTCAAGGTGAGGCACCTCCATTGCCTCGAGGGGATGGATTCATGGGTATGCGGTTGAATTCCAAGGAGAAGGGGATATGGACTAAGCTTCAACAACCACGACGAACGGTGCAATGCACCAAGTTTTTTGACTTAGAAGCTTTGCAAGAGCTAGACATGGAGGAAGTAGTGCGGCTCTTGCTACGGAAAGTGGGTCTGGAGAATTTCATGACCAAATGCTCCCCCACCTATGTCAGGTATACCTATGAATTCCTTTCAACTCTTACTAAAGGACGTGATCAAATATCCTTTAATTTGAATAATAGGAATTATGTTGTGTCTTATGATGATATGCGAATGGCATTTGGTTGGGATGCACCCCCATTGGTGAACCATTGGGGTGATTATAGCACGTACTCGTCCCGAACATTTTGGAGGGCTATAACTGGTTGTGAAGTTGACCCTCATGGTGATCATAGCTTCAAGATCACTCACCCATGCCTTAGACTCGTTCATAGGTTTATTTCGTCCACCATACTATGTCAAGGAGAAGCTACTAAGGTTCCCAAGGCTACATTATCTTATTTGTGGGCGATGACCCCTGAGGGTGTCGGCACCCCCAATTGGGTCGATATTTTTGTAGATAGCTGTGTGAAAGTGCGGTCAAATTCAAGTGGCCACATTAGCATGGGTGGTATGGTCTCCCTGCTCGCTTGTTATTTAAATGTTCCACTCCCCGCAGATCTTGTGCCAGTAGATTCGACGTACCTAACTTATAACATCATGACTCTGGTCAAGATTGGTTTGTTATCGCGTTCCCCCGTCGTCGGTAGTTATTTCTGGCGATATGGGCCACAGGGCCTGAACTATTTGAGAATTCCTCGTCCCGAGGGACGAGCTTTGCCTTATGGCCCTGCCATCACAGACTTCCTCCTTGCGCCCGACCCAGATGTTGCTCCTTATTTAGGAGATGCCGAAGTGATAGTTGAGAACATGGGAGAGGAGAATCCCGATGTTCATATGGGCGGAGAGTTTGCTGATGAGCAAGGGGGTGAGGATGCTGCTGAAGTGCGGCATGATGATTGGCCTCACTGGAGGGCTGATGTAGATGATAGACTAGAGGAGGTGTGCGATGGGATGCAAGAGCTGCTTGCATATCAGAGAAGCATGAGTCGGTTTTATACCGCTCAATATCCACAGTATGAGCCCCCAACTGAGGCGTTCATGGATCACCTGGCATCCCGTGCTTTGCGTCGTTCCGAGAGGCGTGCTTCTCGGGGTGCTGCCGACTCTTCTGGCTCTGGAGGTCCCTCTCATTGAGATGGTAACGATTTTCTTCCTTTTCCCTTACTTTTGTTTTCATTGTAGTTGTTCTTGCATCGAGGACAATGCCTCATTTAAGTAGGGGGGAAGCTTTTCATTGCATATTTTTGAAATTTTGTATAGTTATCTTGATTTCATGTTTTGTATAACTATCTTAATTGTGGTTCAAAAAAAAAAATGCAAAAAGAAAAAGAAAAAAGAAAAAAATTGAAAAAAAAAGAAAGAAAAAGAAAAAGAAACCCGCTAAGCCAAAAACCTGAAAAGGCGGCTTAGGCAAAAATGGGGGCCCGGTTAGGTTGAAAACCCGAAAGGGCGACCTAAGCAAAAAAGTGGCTAATGAGTGGGTGAGAAAGTGAGATTTGGAAAAAGATGAGAGGCTAGGATGAAAACCCGAAAGGGCTCCCAGGCAAAATGAGAGAAGAGAGAGAAAAATTCGTGAATTTGCGCATCTAATTGCCGGAGTCGGTGTCATAAGGGGAGGAGAAATATGGAGGTGTCGGGTAGGTCTCATCTTGATGTTTTCGGGAGATAGTTGAAGTTCGGGAGAAGTGTTGATCATGCTTAGAAAGCTAGAGTTATTTTTCTTGACTTTTGAGTGTGGAAGTGTTTTTTTTTTTTTTTTGTGGACTTTTGGTTTAGTTGAGTCTTGTTTGCCCAATTTTATCAAAAGTTTCGTGTGGTAGGATAGTTGAGAATATCTATGCTCTTGGCTATGTGCTTGTTGTTCTAGGTTGGTTTTGGGGGATGAGTTGAATATTAAAAAAAAGAAAAAGGGAGTTTGTGAAGTGAGAAGGCGGTTAGTTGGTGGTTGCTAGGATGTCTTCTTGAGTTTTAATGCGTAGAGCTTGTTCGGTTCCGCCATCTCCTGTTTTGAACCTTAATGGGGAGATGTGTTCTATTCTCTAAGTTTACTCGAGGGCGAGTAAAGGTTCAAGTATGGGGGAATTTGATAAGCCGTCTTATCAAGGGTTGAGAGAAGAGTTTTAGGGTGTGTTTTGATGTTGTGCATGAGTTTTTAATAGCTTTTGTGAGTTTCGGACGGTGATCTCACTTGTGTGCAAAAGCCGGGATTTATAGGTGTTAGTGAGTGAGTTCGGGAACTAATGAGGAGGATTATAGAGTATGGACCTTAGCTCGTGATTTGAGAAGCGTGATGGAGCTTGGAAGAGCAAGGGAGAAAGCTTGAGTAAAGGTGAAGCAAAGCTAGAAGAAAGAGCAAAGAAGACAGCAGAAGACAGGAGAACCGCTGCCAGGGCCGCTGGCAGTTGGCCAGAGCCGCTGGCAGCTGGCCAGAGCCGCTGGCAGCGGGTCAGCCAGAGAGGACGAAGTGTTTTGCTGCTTTAGCCGCTGCCAGCGGGTCCCGAGCAGCTGGCAGCGGGTCTTCCAGATTTCGGGGCCTGTTTTGGTTATTTTTCAGCAGTTTGCTTTGTCTTGGCTCGTGTTTTGTATTTATTTATTATTTTTATTATTGTTTTATGTTATTTAAGTATGGAAACATATATAGTCTATTTTTATGAAGAGTTAAAAAAGATTAATTGGTGAGAATTAAGTTAGAGAGAAGTAAAAGTTTTCTAGGGTTCTTGGCAAATTTCAGAAATCTTTGTTTTTGAATTAGAATCCATGGAAGCTTAATCTTCCGGATTCTTGGTTAAAGATTGAAGCTTTTGGCTACGAATTGTGAGATTTCTCTTCTCTTTATTATCTATTGAATGTTTATTATTCCTTTGAATTATTTCATGATTTGCTTTAATCAATTGCTAGGTTAGAATTGTTAGATTCGCTTGCATCTAATTAATCTTTCAAAAGTAGCAACTTTGGGTTATGAATGCATGCTTTTGATTGATAACTTAAAGAGGGAATAATATTATTGAAGAAATTAGACCGCTTGTGTTAATTTATTCAATCCTTGTTGATTTCTCCGTTTATGTTCTTCTTGTGGATGATTTAGAGCGCTTGTCTTAAATTATACATTAGAAAGGGTTAGAAAGGAGCGCTTTGCTATTTCTAACTAGCTTATGAGAATTTAGAATTTATAATTCTACAACAAGGTGTTCAATAGTGTTTGATTGAAGAGGCTTCTATGATCAATTTGTATGTTCAATTGTGGATTTCGCATAACCAAGACCGTTATTCTCATTGATTGCATACTATTTACGTTCATTGTTCTGATTTAGTTTAATTGTCACCATTGCTTGTCAAAGCCCCCTTGTTACTTAGATTACTACGTTCCTAGAGTAATTCCACTTAGGTTTGCAGTTATTAGTCCCTTTTTCCCTGTGGATTTGAACTCGACTCCCCTAACTACGTTTATTTGCAGTTAGCTTAGTTGTGATATTTTTGGTTGCATACGACTGAGGCACACCAGACGGTCTTCTGATTTTACAATCATGTCGTCGACATATACTTCGACTTCTTTATGCAAAAAGAATGGAGCCCATCAGTGCTAAAATAAAGGCTCTACTATATCTATGAATAGTAGCATCATCGGCGTCAGCAGGGGGCCCATGAGAGAAGTGTGACCTCAACAAAGTCAACCTTAGAGTAGAACCCTGAAGTAGTGGTTTATAAGTCCGGTCTTCAACCCCTAACAACTCCTCCACTAACTCTGCCCACTTCCCAATACCAGTGCTAGTAACAGGAGCTCCATGAACTCTCAACCCAAACAAAACAGTAACATCTTGTAATGTAACAATCGCCTCACCAACG